CATGCCATTGCTAACTAAGGCTTGTATCCCCATAGTGGGGGAAAATAGATGAGCACATGTAGAGACTCCAGACCAGATTATTGTATAGTGTGGCACAGCTATATCCAATTCTGCATACCTGGCTTTATATTATAAAGTTCTTATAATATAAAGCCAGGTATGCAGAATTGGATATAGCTGTGCCACACTATACAATGTTCTGGTCTGGAGTCTCTACATGTGCTCATCTATTTTCCCCCACTATGGGGATACAAGCCTTAGTTAGCAATGGCATGATAAATGTTCATTTCATGTTCATGTTCTTCATAATATTAAGAAACTGACCTAAAATCATGATTTTATATTGCTTTAGAAAAAATGTGACCTGTCCATTTAGGAAATCGGTAATTGGTACCGGTGAGTACTTGAAAAAAGTATCTCGTACTCGGTCTTAAAAAAGTGGAATCGGTGCATCCCTAGTTAAATCCCAACAAGCCAGTCACAGCATATTTTTTGTTTTGGTTAGAGTGGGGTCACATTTCATTGTCATCTGTCCCTGTTGGGGAAGTTTCTGCTCATTTCCCATCATGGTGACCAAACAGGAAAAGATAGGTCACAAAAGAGACACAGACAGCAATAAAACCCGACAGAGGGTCTTACACTTTCACAATCTACAACAAAATGATTATTACTGTTTTTGTCCTCATTGTAAATGTTTTGCTTACTCCCTGCCTTGGTGAACAAACAGGAAATGAGGAAAAATCTCTCCAATGGTTATAGAAACCTACCTGACAGAGGTTGATGTCCTTATCTACTTTGTCAAAAACTAAAACAAAAGTTTTGTCTTGAATTGGGCCTCAACCAAAAGTAAACAAACACTGACATCCGAGGCTGAATCTGTACTCTTATCTGTAAGTGTCAGTTTTTTAAGATTGTTCTATTGGTATGAATATTTATATCACCAATTTATGCAATGTTGGTGGAGAAGGTTAAAGAGCAGAGAAATTCCACATTCCTAGTGCTAGTCTTTTCTATATCCCATTTGCTATTTTAAGCAATTTTTGTCCATCTTGCCTTTTGAAAAGCCTGGCCCAGTAATCTCCCACTTCCTTTTTTTCACTATTAACCAGTGATGATTCCCAAAAGAGTGACATTCCATATAGCTATTCAAAACATGTACCTACACAATACAACACATACCATCCTTTGTATACTTCACAGCGTGCAGATCAGCAATCTTTTCAATGGAAATGATCACTGGATGAAAAACTCCTTTAAACTTAATCTCTGGCCCTAAAGAAAAAAGTTACAGCGTTTAATAATATATATTCAGAAACTGATGATCAGTTATTTGTAAAGTATGGCTGGCTAAAATTATAAGACAGGGATGATGCTTAGCTAACACATTTCTTGATGAACTCTGAGTTTCTGAAATCACAGTGCTATATGGAGACATTATATAGTTACTCAACAGCTGAAATTGAGTTATTATCACATTGTTTATCTTCAAGTAACTTTCACATTTTTATAAGCTTGCACTTCCATTTCCTTATTTGTATTAAATATACAGATTTCTACAATATACACTATGTTAAGCTTTGTGTCCCACTGCAATCACTAAGCCTTGCTGCTTAATAACTGATGAGATAAGATATAGGAAACATAAGAAGTGCATTGTTTACTTTGGCCGGGAGACTCGCATTGTAAAAAAAAAACAGTAAAGCACTGCCATTGTACAACCAGATGCAATGTATACCAGATACATTGTACACCAGATACATTGTACACCAGATGCATTGTATACCAGATACATTGTACAACCAGATGCATTGTATACCAGATACATTGTACACCAGATGCATTGTATACCAGATACATTGTACAACCAGATGCATTGTATACCAGATACATTGTACACCAGATGCATTAGGGCTGCACTGGCTTTTTCCAGTGCAGCCCGAATGCACAGACAAGGGAATTTGTCTTGTCTCCGTTGGTTTAGTTTAGACCACCGCAAACTGCTTGCTGTATTTTAATTCAGTGCAAGGTGGTGCAATGCGATACAACCACTGTGCACCACCCTGTGGTGACATAGCTTAATGAATATAACTTGTGACATTTCAATAAAGTTCTAACAGCAAAAATAGGTAAATAGTGCAATGCATTTTGTGATAGGTGGGCTATGTCCATAATATGCAAGTATATACACCGAATACTTGCACATTATTGCACACTTACCTTCTAGAGTGCCAATCTCCAGTGATGCAATTGCCGCGCACTCCCCATCTTTGCTTCATCTTCTTCAAGGCATCTTTCGTGTCAGCCGTTGGGCAGTCACTGATTCTGCAACCTCTGTTCCGGGACATTGTCCCCAGCACCCCGAATTTTATATATACTGGTAATGAGCTGGGTTGTACACAGCAATGTGCATGTGGTGCAGGCAGTTTACACTAAATAAAAAACTGCTAGAAGCAAAAATAAGCATTTTTGTGGCAGGGGCGACTTTAGATTTTTTTTTGTAAACAGAAAAGGCATTCACTTTCTAGCAGTTTTTTTTTTTTTTCAGTTTAGGCCCACTTTAACTTTCTTTAATTACATTGTTTATATCAAATCTCATTTAAAAACAGCTGACTATATAATACATTCACTGCAGACAAGACAGGCTCTTTGGTGTTATACTTACCAATGCCAGTATTTCCTACTACAAGAGGTGCCTGTGGATATTTACATTTCAGATCTAAAAGTTCCTCAAGGTTAAAAACTGTAATCCATTTCACTTTTTCTCCCTGAAAGACCAGGGTCTGTGGATTTTGCTTTTCAGACATCTGCTAATGGCAAAAAAAGGATATATAATATACATATATCCTAACAGTATGAATTACCTCATATGTCTCAAACTATAGCTTAATGTTGGAGTTATTACGAGTTGATCTTTTTTAAGTAGACTTTCAATTTCTTTAGAAAGAGAGGGAGATAATCCATTGAGTTTCTCAAACCTTTAACCGCTATGTATCAAAAACTGATTGAGCTTTACTACCTTTTTATTGGAAAGTCTTTACTGACTTATCCACAACTTATATTTTTTCCTGCAGGTTTCCAATATTTATCTCCTAAATGTTTGAGCAAATAACTACATTCCCAAAGGGTCCAATATCCAATGCCCTCTCTATGATCGGTCTTACAGCCTATGGGAGCAGACATATCCAGTTCAATTGGCTATATCAAAATGCTTTCACTATGACCTTTCACCAATACTAAAAATGAGTGTAACTAGGACTAATTTCCATATAGCCAACATTGACAAGGGCCTAGGAAGGCAATGCTACCAAGGGTGGCACAGCAATGACTTGTGTATAATAAAGCTACCCTGATGTCTTAAAGTAACCCAAATTCTTGTATAAATAAAAAAAAGCATAGTTCAGCTTGTAGTATCATGCATTCATACATAATAAATAATGTAATTAGTCCAATAACAAAACACAATTAAAGACTTGTTTCTTTGAGAAACCAAATAACTCACAATTAGCTCGGGAGGAAAAATTAATTCTTGTGATGGGTCCAATGGTAAACATTCTTCTTTGTCCAAATGTAATGTCACTATCTAATAACAAAATAGAGATGGTCTTGTTAAAAAGTTTGAAACACTCCATTTGAGTGTGAGAAGTGAACTACAGTATACTGTAAAATGTTTCTCTTTAAAGCGAACCTTTCACTTTCCTTCTTTTGTTTGCTTCCCCCTCTCTCTTCCACATTTAAACATATTTACTGTTTTTTACATACATTGAATACCTTATTTGCTGGTGCACCCTTTTATTAACTTATTTTTCGCCTAGGACGAGAACGATGTACAGTAGTCCTTGCCTGCCGTTGTGCATGTACTCCCTCCTCGTTGGTCTACCTATACACAAGCTATACTGCTTAAGCTAAATGCGGTCTAAGAGTGTGCGACTTTATTTTTGGCCAGGCAGTGTATGCACTGGTTCTGTAGAGCAATGGTAGACTGCCTGAAACCATCCTTTTTTTTTGTCAGATACACAGTTATATGTAGTAATTTATAGATTAAACATTGCCATATTCTTGTTTGAACCTGTTGAAATCAAGCATATCTTCTTTTTAATAAGTACAGTAACCAACAGCAAACTAATTACATGTTTGCTTCACAAATATCACTATAATATTCTGACATTTTGGTGGCTACTGCCTCTGTACTGTGTAATTCAATAATACCAGGAAAGGAGCAAACGTAAAAATACTGTAAAAAAATCATGTGACCTTTAGCAACTGATAAGAATTATGTCTTTCTAATGTGACTACAGTAAAGTGAGATGCTAATAATTGCACATAACACTTGCACTCTGTACAGGGTCTCTGTCAGCATACAGGGTAGCGAGCAGCTGGTTTCTCGATAATGTGGTAACGTGGGTGTTTGTTGATCATACTGTATTTTTTTTAAGCATTTGTGATTATATGAGCAATGAGTTGTAAAGCGAGAGGCATGGTGATTTGTGAAGTGAAATAATTACCAGTCAGATTTTACGTATCTGGGGTACAGTCAATAATAGATGATTTCTGATTGAATGCTATGAGATACTGCAGTCTTATCTTATTAAAAAAAATGTAAATGAATATATTAAAGCCTAGGTGCAATTTTCTGACTATGTTTCATGTTACACCCACATTTAATCCGCCTTTGTTGACCTATATGGTGCTGACAGGGCCATCCACAGCTCAAATTTTGGCAAATTTTGCAGGAAAAGGGATAAAATGGTGTTGTTTTGTACTCACATCATCTTCCACTTGATCATTGTGCATGTTCTGTTCACTTCTACAGCAGTTAACCTCCTGGACAAACAAACACAGTATTGCTGTAGCCACTGAAAAGAATAACTTAATATGTGTCTTAGAGTACAAGCAGTAAGGTAATGGCCTAGATTTAAGTTGATCTCTAAACAATAGAAACCAGATAAATTAAAAGATATGCAGTCATAAGAGATAATTGATCAAAAAATCAATCAATCAATAAAAACTAGAGTTGCTTTCAATAGTGACCAATATGGGGTCAATCTTTCCATTTCTTTCAATTTCTTTCAATTTCTGGTTTAATAAAACAGGATTTTGGTTCGATTCTATAACATGTATGAGTCTTTTGCTTCTTTTTCTGTTCTACATGAAGACTGTGGCATCCCATTGTACTGGGAATTTTTTGTTTTTTTGAACTTTGTAAAGCCCTTCCATGTGCACCTTACTTTGAAAGGTTGATGTGTGCGTTTGCCATTTGTTTCACTTGTTGGATTTTGTGTGCGCACACACTGGGGGCTTCAGCTTCCATTGTGATGTGTGGGGCTTCTGGTGTGTTCCTGTGTCTTTAAGGATGCTTGAGCTACCTCCTGGCAAACCTGCACTCAATTTATCCTTTGCTATATATGCTCCATGATGGAGGCTCTCATAGATTAGAGTTAGAACCACACTACACAGAGGGGCAGTGTGATGAGGCAGTGTGGCTTTCACATATTTTGTAAAGGTTGTGCAACTAAAAGCTCTGTTTTACCGCAAAGTGTTAGACAGTGTCATTTGATTTTTTTTCAGGCTAGCTGGTTAGTGTGCTGTAAGCATGTGGGGTCGGCAAAAAAATTGTTTCATTTCAGATTTTTCTTACTTTCGGGTCCGGCCGCCAATTCATTTTGTTATTCGGATTCAGATCTTTCGGAATTTCGTTTCAGACAAGGTTTTCTGATTGGCCAGAAAACACATGCCCGATTTAGTTTAATTTTGAATGAAATTCGGATGATCCGAAATTTTGTTAAAAGAACATTTGGATTCCTTGTATTTGGCCTCACTGGAATTCAGACATTTAGATGCATCCAAATGTCTGAATTCACAAAATTGTGTCGGACTTTACATCCGGAATGAAAGGAACCAAAATAAATTGACATGTCTAGTGTGCTGGGAAATGTTTGTGTTTGCCAATTGGGGCTAAGGTACTTAATTCGGAGATAATGCTAAGAGAGGTGCCCATGTACATTTTTGTACCAAAATATATTTAACATACAGTATATACAGGAGACACAAATACATGCTAGTTTTTTTACAGAGCTGTCCAACAGTACCACTGAAGGGCCATTAAAAGGTAATCATTTTATGACAGTGCATAGTGAACTAAATGTATTATCTCATAATTATATACATCTCAACATTTCAGTGGAACAATGGCCTTTGATTCAATTTGACAGCCCTGAAATACAGTTTTGTAAAAGTTTTACGATTTTAACTGTGCTATATCATCAGTGTACAATACAATGAATAGTATCAGTTTGCATAACGTCAATGCTCATGTACTGCTAGAACTGTTGTAGAACTATAGTCACAATGGGAAAACATACTTTCACATTTAATACATATGCTTTATCATATTAGCTACATTCACAGTAACTGCATAAAGTATCATATATATATACTGCACTTCTACAGAGTTAGGTAGTGTGGTAGACCTATGTAATCTTAAGTTTAAGCATCTGGCGTATCCAGTTAAATTATTGATGAGGGCATTATTAAGGGACCCCAACTTTGTAATTATCACTCCAAAATCCAAAGCTCACCTTGCAAAAGGTCTTGCAGCCATCAATTATTGGTCTATATCCTGTACAACGACAAAGGTTTCCTTTTTTGGGAAACAAGGTACCATGTTAAATGTGTCCAAAAAATAAATAGCTGACAGTATTGTGCCTGTAGTTGAAACAATAGTTATAAGATCTTACCTCCTAAGGCTTCATATATTTCTTCTAAAGTGGGCTCTGGGTGGTTCCTCAATAGTGAGTACATGGACATCACCATTCCTGGGCTACAGAATCCACACTGAGAGCCATGGGCTTTTGCTATCCTTTCCTATGATATATTACAAAGAAATGTGACCGCAATATATCAATGGATCTAACACTGTGTGTATATATTACAATACATGACTTATTTTCTGTCTACTGATGCCATATAAAGGAAGCCAGCAACAGTAATTTTGCCTCCAGTGGCAGTTTACGTACCCAATACAACAGACAGTAAAGTTGCATACATTTTAAATATCTAATTTTCTGTAAAAGTGTTGGAACATTTTCATGTATTGCTATGTGCTTTAATTTTAGTTATTTTAAATAATGCAGCTATGCATAATAAAGCTATGTAAAGCACGTTGTCATCACCTGTACTGGATGTAGTCTAGTGGCTGTGCTTCCAATTCCTTCCACTGTAGTAACAGCTGCACCATGTAGAGAACAAATAGATAGTAGACAGGCGTTGGCTGAGTAATGTCTACACAATGTTAAGGTTTTAAAATGCTCCAAATATATAATGAAGTCCTTGTACAGCTTATTTATTTGGCAAAAAAGAAATCACACTGGGCAAAGGGCTGTATCATAAACCTTTTCTGACAGCATTAAATCACTGTCCTTCCAAATGAACATTGAACTTAAAGTGGACTTTCATTTGACCCTGCCTGACATCTCCCTGCTCCCGCAGCCACCTGGGATTTCCCTATTACATATCCCAGGAGGCTGCAGGAGAAGGGAAACACAGCAGCGGACCTCATGGTGCATCATCAGGGACCGGCTGCAAGAACCCAGAAGAGACAGCCAGCTCCTGATGACATCAGGGATGAAGATTGTGGGGCAGGACCCAGCTTGTGGCAGTGAAGCAGCAGGTTGCAGTAGGACAATGCTGGATTCTGTGGGTGAGTGTCTATGTTTTTTAATCTAACTAATTAGTATCTTAATTTCTTAATTGCATCATAAAATAACAGATCAGCTTATCTACACACGATATAATGCGATACACCCTTATGCATTAGTGGGTTGGATACGTGATCTTCTTGGAAACAGGATGGATATGCGATATCATCACAGTGCAGGATCCACAGCCACCTCCTCCACAGCCATATTTAGTACCTGTCAAACGTACTGGGAAATCATTGTCAAGGAATTTTATGTCAATTGTTTTTTTGTATATCATCCAGTGCTTTCCTGCCAGCCAGTGTATGTGTCTCAACAACAAGACTGTCGAAGTTAAATAATTTTTTAAGCAACATGATAGATATGTTTTAACTGAATAAAATATAAACAACAAGTTTGCCACTTCAAAAAATGGGTTAAAAATGTGGAAATTAGTAATTGGAGTGGTGTGATAAATCAACATAAATAATGAAAGTAGCAGTAGTATATACCTGAATAATTACTGCTATATACAATACTTTAATTGCAAACCTTCATGGGTAGTTATTCGCATCCAAGGCTATTAAAAAGAATAGCAGAATATTGGCCTAGCCCAGGGCACACAAATTAGGACACCTCCCTTCGTTTTAGAGGAGCCTGCCCTAGTCATTGACTCAAAGTATTAAAGAAAATGGACAGAAGAACAGCCTGACAACTAGCATCTTCTGAAGCGAGGTCAGCAGTGCCGCCTTCTACGGTCTGGCATGACAGTTTTCTTGTAACCTAAACAAACAATATTTCATGGCAATATTTACTACACAGAAAACACATTTAGTTGTTAATGATTACAGCACTTTGAACATCAATGCACTGTGCATTGCTTCACTTAATAAAACTGCTTCTAGTTTACTGGGTCATAGTGAGAAGAAAATATACTCATGGCTAGGCCACATCAGCTATAGCACAGAGCATTGCAGTGCTGACACCAAAATAACTGACAGTCATTTTGGTGTCAGCCCCTCTGAAAAGTTGGGCACTCGGTCATGGACCGAGAGCCCGACAGCTGCAGGAGAGAGAGAAGGGGACCCGGTGGCATACCTTATCAACAAGATGGCCGCACATGCGCGATGACTTCACGGTGGGGTGTCACTCGGTATCTGCTCCGGGTGACACACGGCCTCGGGACGCCCCTGCCGTATAGTACAGATTTCGTCTCTGTGAACCTTTCTTGTGGTGTCAGTATGGTACAGATTGTGTCTTTGTGGACACATTTCTGGTTGTCAGTATGGTACAGATTGTGTCTTTCTGTACACATTTGTGGTTGTGTCAGTATGGTACAGATTGTGTCTTTGTGAACACATTTCTTGTGTCAGTATGGTACAGATTGTGTCTTTGTGGACACATTTCTGCTTGTAACAGTATGGCACAGATTGTGTCATTGTGAACACATTTCTGGTTTGTGTCCGTACGGTACAGATTGTATCTTTGTGGACAGATTTCTGGTTGTGTCAGTATGGTACAGATTGTGTCTTTGCGGACACATTTATGCTTGTTTCAGTGTGGTATAGATTGTGTCTATGTGGACATGTTTCTGGTTGTGTTAGTACAGTACTGATTGTATCTGCAGGCATGTTTGTCATTGTGCCAGTACGGTACAGCTTGTGTTTCTGAGAACGATTTTGGTTGTGTCAGTATGGTACAGATTGTGTCTTTGTGGACACGTTTCTAGTTGTGTCAGTACAGTGTTGACTGGGTCTGCAGACATGTTTCTGGTTGTGTCAGTACTGAACAGATTGTGTTTCTGGGAACATGTTTGTGTTTGTGTCAGTACGGTATACATTGTATCTCTGCAGAGGTTTCTGGTTGTGTCAGTACAATACTTAAGTTACTGGTTGTGATTGCATTAATATGACTTTGGGAGTATAAACCCGCCCCCAAAAATAATCAGTAATCTAAGTGATGTTCTCTAATTTAGAGATAACAGTTGTTCTGCCCAGCTGGAAAGGTTGAAAGAAAACTAGTGGGCACTTTGCTTTTGGATGAATTAAATTGAATTGACCTAAACTAAGTTAACTACTAAATCTGGAAAATCTAATAATTCATCTCTGTTAGAGATAAAAATAGTAGCTGTTATAAAAAAACAAAAACAATCCCTATTAATACTCTTGTCAGTTTAAGAGTAAAGCTGGCCATACACTGGTAGATTTTTGCTTTTGGAACATTTGATAATGTTATCAGAGACTTGATGAATGTCTTTTTGACATTTTGCTTGATTTTGACATCCGATTTTAGAATGGATGGAGTTTTCCAGACGAAAGCCACATTCACTGTCAGAATTTCGTTTCCATCCGGCACCTTCTATTTTTTTCGACACTACAGTCCAAAGTGATCATCAATTTGACCCCCCCCCCCCAAATAAATAAATAAATCAGATAATTGGACAAACATGCCACAGGTCGGCTCAGTAGATCGGGAGGTGAGCGAACACATACCAGGTTCGCTCATCTCTTGATCCTGTCACGGCTCTCTGCCGTGACAGGGGGAGGGGCTGCATTCCCCTCTCCCCGCTCCGATCTGCCAGCGCTGACTGGCGGAACGGACGGGGGAGGGGGCGGGTACAGCTGGCTCTGACTCTAGATAGGCAGAGCCAGCTGTCACTCACGCAGTTGGGCGGCTCCCGTCATCTACGTCGGGATCCGCTCCGGCTGCGGCGTCTCAGTATACTGAGCTTAGGGTGACAGAAGGATGCTAGTTTGTGTCCTCCCGTTACCCTAAGGAGAACTATGGGGAAAAACACTGACCCCATAGTTCTCCTTTAAGTTTTTCGAATGAAATGCTACTGGTGAAATAAAATTAAATTCTACAGATTTAGTATACATGGATATTTGAGATCAGTTTGAATGTTCAGATCAAATAAAAAAATCAAACACTTAATTCCATATCTGTCAAAAATGATCTGCAATCCAGAAGTTAATGTTTTACATGCAATGGCTTAAGTCTAATCCCTTTAAGTATGTACATATTGGTGTTTGTGTGCAAGTATTTTCTGTGATGGGTAGAAGTCTTAGAAAGTTAAAGAGGTAGCAGCTAAATTGCTGTGAGAGAATTGGGGGTGTATTAGCAGATTTGCTTCCCTTGTTCACCGATTGGACAAGGGCGAGAGAAGGGGCAGATTATGTCTCAATCCCCATCTGAGAATGTGTTGCGATATATCTTAGTGGGCTTTTTCAGGCACACATAGATTTGCAATAGAGACGGAGGTTTTGTTTGTTTGTTGATAGAAAACTGGGTTCATACAATGGAAGGTGCCACCTAAACAAACCAAACTGGTTTTTCACAATGGTGTAGCTTGTCCTGTATTGATTCGTATCACAATGGGATGGTGATCGTAAACAGTCACACCTAGCCTGGTCAAGACTCAAATCAAATCTGGACTACTGATGGCAATTTATGGTACAATGCTGCCAACTAGAGGTGGGAAAGTGAAATGTATTGCATTTTCCTAAAGGTGAAAGGGGCAGCACTTCCAAAGTTTTAGGCCAGTTTTCTCTCAATAAAAAGCCAGTAGCTGAAAGGTTGAGAAGCACTGCACTTCACCAGACGAGGGCTTCACAGGAGGGGGACAGTACGAGGGCGCTTCACAAGACGAGAGGACTTGCTTCAAGACCAGGACATACAAAGGATTTAGCAGAGAAGCCATTTTTCCTAGGCTGAGAAGTCCTGCTCATCGTGGAATTTGTGGAGCCTGCAGCCTGAGCTAAGTACATTTTCAGTGTTTCCCCTCCTAGAAATCATACATGCACTAGAAGATAGTGTAGTGGGTGCATGTGAATGTTTGTAGCAGCCTGTATGTCTTGTTTATGTATTTGTTTGCTTTTTTCCTGTAACCAAGTTTGTACACGCAGCATTTTCGCCACGTAAAGTACTTTTAATGCTACTGGGTCAGTTTCCTTGAAGTTTACTGCAAGAACAGACAACAAATAGAAATTAAAGTTTTGCCAAGCTTTACAGCTGGGCTCATCCTTGGGATAAGCTTGACGTCTCTGGGATTTGTAGTCCAGAGCATTACACAGAGAATCAGTCTGTGAACTAAAAAAGGCATTTTCTGTATAGTGGCGGTGCAGAATGAGTGACTTTTTGTGTTTAGTGAGCAGAGGGGAAACCACTGGAGCAGCACCCACAAGAGCAGGGGTAGCCAAACTCCGGCCCTCCAGCTGTGGTGGAATTATAAATCCCATGAGGCATTGCAAGGTTCTCCCAGCCACAGACATGACTCCTGGAGAGAGTTGCATCATGGGATTTGTGGTTTCACCACAGCTGGAGGGCCGCAGTTTGGCTACCCCTGCACAAGAGTATGGCTTTACTGTATGTACCGCAGACTACTACAGTGATTTTCAGCATTCTCAGCAGCCCTCTGGATATCCGATGTGGACACATACATTAAGGCAAGGTGGACCAATGTAAGTTAGCAAAAAAAAAGAAGATAATATAAAAAGCAGTGAGGTGTAGAAATTTGCTGGGATCAAATAAAAATCCCAACATAGATTTGGGGTTAAAAGGAAACTCTCCTTCAGGGATGTTTTTCCTTACGAATGGTTTAATAGCGAATGAAATTAGATGAATATGGGTTTGAATATTTCTGGCTACAAAGTGCTGTGTTCATACCATTGGTTTGTCTTTAACCACTTCAAGACCAGGTGTTTAGACCCCCTTCCTGGCCAGGCCATTTTTCAGTGTTCAGCGCTGCAGTAGGTATCCATGTTACTGTGCTTATCAATAACATGTTCAATGTTATTATTATCAACATAACTGTCTTTAAATTTTGTGTAGATGTTTAAATGTGAATCACCAAATTGCTGTACAAATTTATGGGAAAATAATTTTTAACTATAGAGATTTCAGAGCAAGGAAACGGATATGGAAGGCAGCAGGAAACTTTGAAACTGCTACCTGGGGAGATAAAAGTATAAGATTACCACACTATCCACCTAACCCCTAATCTGCACTTGTATCAGACCATTCACACTTTTCCCTGACAGCCAGTTTGGGGCAAACAAATAAGGTGGTCAATATAGCCACTAAAAGAATGCAACATGAGATCTGACATTATTTCATTTTACTTGACTGTGAAGACCATTATTGGAAATGTACACCAGCCAATACACACACAACTGGTGTTGAAGGAAGACATTATGGTATCTTATAGCCTCAAATTCAGCTATAATTCCAGAAGCTCATATACACTATCCAGCACTTCACAGAATTCAATATGTAGTGCAAAGCCACCACTTACAAACCCATTGTGAACAGATCTCAACTCAAATGAAATATGGGTGGTAACAGCTTGGCAAAGTGGACACAATAAGGCTGATTTACTAAAGTAAAGTATAGGCTGTTCACTTAGCAAACTGAATTTTCACTTAGCTTAGTAAATTAAGTGAATCTCTGTTGGCTTCAGTTTTCCAATCACGTGTAAGTGTAGCGTTCCCCTTATTCGGTGAGCATATCGCATCCTGTGCCAGCACAGGAGAACACTATGGTTGGCTCCCAACAGGTGATCTACAGTAAAATAACTAATAGGTCTCCCTGTATTTCCTCTGTAAGAAACCTCTATAATGGATCCATAGCACACCAGCACACCTTGAGTACTAGGGTCGGTTGCTATGGGTTACAGTAACTCCGAAATCTTCTTGTCTAGGGTTAAATTCACTCGCTTTTGCCCATCGGCACTTACCGTCCTTTATGGTGATGTCAAGACTGAAGACATGATGTTTAGAACTTGTATTGCAGAACTTCAGGGAGAGAGGTTGAGGGTTAAGATCACCAGGAAGATGCAGACCCCATTACATTGCAGAGTGTGGTTATCGATCCCATGCACAGCAGGTAGAACACCTGACACAGTAATAACAGTAGTAACCACTGGGCCTGCACCCATCAAGCTCCAGTGTAACTACTCGGCTAGTCCCCAGGCTTCAGGCCTAGCCATCTCTCAGACAATATTGATTGGCTGGAAAGGGGTTTTCCACTCATATCAATCCCTCATTGGTTGCTCTGTTCTGTATACAGGGTACACCCTGCAGTACACATAGCAGCAGACAGATGCAAATGATGGCAGATTGTTTAGGGGACGCCAAATGAGCAGGAACTACAAGTCAGCATCAGACTGCATACAATCTGATAATAATAAGTTTAATAGCACTCTTTCCAGCAGGGTGCTACACGAGCCAAACTCGTGAACTTTTATATTTCCTTGAACTTGATTGGGTGTTCTTTGGAAAGTGAATTTTCACCACATTCACTAAGCTTAATGAAACTTTGTTTGCAAAGAGCAATTTCCTTTTGCTCAGTGAACAGCCTAAAGACCTTTTAGTAAATCTACCCCATTCATTAAATTGGCATATACTGTAGGTCAAATTTTGATATTTGATCATCCTTTATCATGGTTTTTAAATAATCACTGTTTAGATACAAGGATACATTTTCTTCTCAGGTAAGGTAGCAACATTACCTCTGGGTCTGCCTTCTGTTCAGTTATCTGTGATTCAGAAATAAAGGTTAAATAAAGAGACACGAGACTTGCTGACTAGTGTACATAGGTGGTAATGTTAAATAATTAACTTGTGGCACACATATAAAGGCAAAAAAGATGTTCTTCACCGTATCTTTGTTAAGTTGGCCATACACCTTACAATTATCTGCAGATTTTCTGTGGTCAGATGGAAAAGGTGCAACAGATTCCTCCATCTACACTTAACTGTGTGGATGGAGTAATCTCCACCTGGGCCAATCTGTTGCACTTTCTCCATCTGACCACAGAAAATCTGCAGATAATTGTAAAGGTGCCCATACACTGTACGATTCTCGTACGAGAATCGCGGGAAATCCCGCGATCGTACGAGAATCGTACAGTGCATGGAAGGCGTGCGACCGTTTCTACTGTACGGTCACACATCTTTTGTTGAACCAGCATGCTCGAAAACCTGCCTGCTCGTTCGATAGCTGAGGAACGGGCCGGTGTGCGCACGCGCACACTGCCCGTTCTGCATTGCGGTCATCGGAAGCCCGCCCCTCAGCGGGGCGGGCTTTCGATGATCGCAAGTACGATCTGCCCGTCCAAGGTGGCCAGATCGTACGAGCTTTCAATAAGCATACGACCATCGCAAGACAAAAGTCTTGCGATGGTCGTAAGGTGTATGGGCACCTTAAGGTGTATGGGCACCTTAATTGTATGCTCATTGTGTTTATTAGATTACATAAGAAAGTGGTAATTCTGGTGATTTTTAAAAAACACTTTATTGCATCATATGCATTGACCTTACATGTACTGCTTTCCTAGTATGAGGTTACACCCCCTGTCTTCACTGGTTTTGGGCAGCTGCTAGGGGAAAAACAATTAAAGCACTAATTAGCAATGGCATGCTACACACCACTTAGCAATCTACTCATTGGCCATATTAAGGATTCATGCTGTTCTAACTATTTATGACTAGTGTGCCCTTTTATAAAGACTCCACTGTGTTTGCCACTAACCATGTTACACAGCTATTACATTAAAATGAATAAAAAGCTGCATGCTACTTGATATATAGAGATTCATAAGCAGCATTTTATCCCGTCAACCCATCTAGTTGGCTACTGGACTAGAAACATCTACATACATACATGCCATCAAAAGAAAAAAAGTTTGATCTACTGTATAATTGTTGATTTGATCTGATTGTAAAAAAGGGGCGGACCTTGCACAAAAGAGTGTCATACGGGTGTGCATAGGACATCATGGTATTTAAATACAGTCCTGGGTACAGTAACTGGTCTGAATACTAAATGTTGGGAGGAATATTCCTGGTTGGAACTATAGCTAAATACAATAAAATACCACCAGGAATATGTGGCATAATAGCAATGTTAAATATATACACTGAGTGGCCAGTTTATTATGACCACCTGATGTTTGTAGGCAAATTAGCTATAATTAGCTATAATTTTGCGCTAAAGTTGCTAGAGGGCCAGACCATTATAAATAGGGAAGCAGGTTGTTTACCACGACAGTAGAAGTGATTTTTTTCTGAAGATATGGGTAAATAACGCGATTTAACAGCCTTTGAACGTGGGATGATTGTTGGCGCGAGCCATGGAGCGAGAATCAGCAAAACAGCAGAATTCGTTAAATGTTCAAGAGGGGCTCATTGTTAAAGTGTTTAAAGACTGGACTGTCAGCCGAAAATCTGGGTCAGAACGTGCGAATTGTGGCCGTCAGCGACTAGTCAATGTTAGGGCAGAACGGAGAGTGGCAAGGCTGGTACAAGACAACAGAAGGGCAACAGTCCAGTGTCAGATTCCTCGCATCAGCTTTCAACATCTCGTGGAGTCACCAGGCGGCCCAACGATATCATCTTGTGGAGTTATCTCGTGGCCCAACGAAGTACTGATGGGGTGGTCATAATAATCTGGCCACTCAGTGTATATATCAGTCATATCAGATATTACTTTCAGATCCTTTTAATGGGAATAAATCAAAATCTGTGCTTATTGGAAAAAGACTTGAGTTGCTCATTAGAGGCTAATAGCTTATTCACACCAGATGGGATACTTGTTTCAGGAGATGGGATTTGTGTTTTGGAAGAGAGGCAAACTGCATGGTACTTTACAAATGTTGCTCATGTCAATAGGGCCCATTCTTACCATATTGTTGTAATAAAGCACATTTGGAAAGTATCCTAGTGTTTTGTTTTTTTGGTTGTGCTGTCCTAATTAAAACCAATGTCACAGAATTCATCCCCCCATGAATGATTTTCTTTCAGCCACCTGGCTGCACACAAATTCATTTGCACCAGATACACATGTATTTGTTATTTATACAGTCTTTGAGTATCCACTTGACACGTAATAATGTTAGAATGTTTTACCTCTTAACATCAGTCCAATGATAATAAAACATTTTAACACCTGGATTTACAGTTTTTTTTTACAGTGATTTTACCCATTTTAAAACTGCCAGTATTAAAGTAGTATTATGACCACCCATTAAAAAAATATGTGTTGAGCATTTAATTATTACATGGCAAACTCGCCAGTCATGATAATAATAATCCAGCAGTAACATAAGGGAGGCAGGAGGGAACAGATCAGCCATCATACAGTAGACTGGGGTTTTTGCTACCACCAGTCTCTGTAGGGTCATGTAAAGGTATGTACAGGTATCACCAGGTTCTTGCATTGTACAGCTGCAGTCTGTTTAGTACTTTTATGGTACTGACAGCTTTGCTTTAAGGTTTTCTTTAGGGTCAGTTTTTTTTTTTAGCTAGGTCAAAGTTCAATTATGTTAGTAGATAGCTAGCCTAATCCATATGGATTTAGAAATTGAGGTTAGGCTAACTTTCAGTTTTCAGGAATAGGTTTAGGTATTAAATTGAAGTTTGCTGTTAGGGTGTTAGCTCAGAATAACAGTAAATTAGTATCATATTCCCAAATGTGATACACTACATTTTTGGCATGTGGCTATTTAATTGTCAGGTCTTATCAGATCAATCACATTAGGTGTGAAATTTCCTGGAGCTGCTCAAAAACACTGAACCCTTTTATTTTCAGCAGAAGAATAACTTCCTAGAAGGAAGGTGAAAACACAAACCTGGGGGGAATGTTTCACCTGTAAAGTTCCTCAGAGATACGGGAAGCCAGCATAGTACACACTGATGATTAGACAAAAACTGAGATTTCTTCTGGTCGGAATTGGCCTTTAAAAGGAATCATCCCACATGGTGCTAAACTACTACCGAAGAACTCATATATAGACATTTAAAGACTTAGACATTTAAAAATAAAGCTATATAAATACACACAAATATATATATATATATATAAATATATATATATATATACACACACACACATTATATATGCACACACACACTGTATGTATTTGGATGAAATATATTGTGAGGAGTTAATAAATTAAAATAAAAAAACATAACTAGGCAAAAGTTAATTGTGTTCCGTATACAGGTCTTGTTTGTGCGTCTGCTGACAGTTAATAGACACGTCTGTTGAAAGACATTTAATGCAGTACATAACAAGGCTTGCTTATTCACATTAGTAATGCAAATAATCTAAGTTTTGAAAGTAACAAAATGTGTAGTATTTAGATAAATAAGTAAACAATAAAGAGTACTCATGCACAATGTCATCTATAATGCTCACAAAATTATGTTTACGATCCCTGTATGATTTGTTCAGAGAAAGTGTTTTGGTGAATTTAAGATTATTTGTGGCATCTTATTAAAGGTCTCAGAGTGAATGTTACACTTAAGCCAATATTTTAACAAAACAAAAGTAACCATTTAAACTTACTTTCTTGCCATTCACAAAGAAGATAAGTTCATCTGATTCCATGTGTTCATCCATGGCTGTAGATGTCCAACTGGAGTTGCAGTTCTAGATCTCAGCAGGGTCTGAAAGCAACAGACTGCAGTGCTGAAGTCCAATTTTCTAGTTGGTGAAATGTTGGGAGGGGGCAGAGATCAGACAAAAACATGGTCAGCACGTGCTACCTAGAATTCCAGACAGAAGACAATGGCACACTTGTTCTTCCTGCCTGTGAATTTGATTAATGTCTTAGACCGGTATCTGTGACTTTTTATCACTTTAAATTATTTTAGCTCAAAAACCTCTATATTAGATACATTTCTTGCTGGTCCGCCAAATCACTGCCCATTACTTTTCCCTAACTAAATTGTATGTTACATATGTCAGCAAATGTTGTGTGCTTTTGAGCTTTGGTTTATTCTTCCAGGCCTCCCTGTCAGCACTTAGAACACATATTTATAAAGCAGTAAAGGTGACTTTCACTAAACATTCACTGGTGGTGATTCAATTACTGTGATTTAAAACACTTGAACCAGAAATGTACACCTGCAGTGAATTTTTGATGAATGACAGATTGCCTGCTACTGACTAGACATGTGCATTCAGGGCCTGTTCACACGACGTCCGTTTTCTGTGCTGACCTGATCCGTATGCTACTGCACTAAAAATGCATCCCAATGTATCCCTATGTGTTTTATGGGCTACATTACTCACGTGCGCAGTTCAGGTTACGACAGAAAAAACACTGCATGTCACATTTTGTACGGTCAGGAAACTGACCGGAAACGCAAAACGCAGCCAAAATGCACTGCATCAGTAGCACCGCGTCTGCAGATCCGCACCTGATCCGGACCTGATCAGGACCTGATATCATGTGAACAGGCCCTTCGGATTCGGATGAGCCTGCAAATCAACGAAAATCAGTTTATTCTGCAGTTTGTCCGAATCAACTAATTTATTATATGCCCGAATATACGAAAACTATATTCGGGCATACATAAATTAGTTTTCAGAACAAATGGTGGCCATATTGTCCGCCGATGTGTCCTGCGCATGCCCACCGCCATCTCGGAGGCAGAGCGTATGACGTCACATGGCGGTGACGTCACACGATGAATGAGTGGTAGCCATATTGGCCGCCGGCGCGTTTTGCGCATGCGTGCCGCCATTTTGGAGTATGTCTTGGTATACACCAAGATGGCAGCACTCGAACATGCGGGTGCTGCCATTTTGGTGTATGCCAAGATATACTCCAAATGGTGGTGTGCATGCGCAGAACACGCTCGCCCTGCAATTTCAGTGTGCGGTTTTGGATTTGGAGGCTATGTTGCCTCCTGTCACACTTCCCTGTGTGATGATCCGGCTCTGGGTTTTGCCTCCTGTCTGAGCTGCTTGGCTTCCTGCCAATCCACTCTGAACCTCTCCATTAAAAGTCCATCTCACTTGTTCCGTGCCGTTCGAGCAACGTGTCTTTACACCCAGTCGGACTTCCTGTTTATCTCTTGCCTCTGTAATCCCTGCGGTTGCCCCCCTCCTACCTTGTTTCCTGTGAGTCTGGATTCCCTCTTCCTCACAGTGATATCCTGTACGTCCTGCATTGGATTGATCATCAGCTTCTTCAAGCGAGTCCTTGCACTTCTGCCTACTTGTGTGGCTGTGTATATGCTTCAACCCTGTCTGCTGATGCATCCAGCACCTCGGTGATGCAACTAACCTTTATGTCTGTGTGGGCATGCTAGAGGGCCGCAACCTGGAAGGTGTCCAGCAGCCAATCATCCTCACCATTAGAGGCTTTGTCGAACACCTAGCCCTTCTTATAACCTGCACCTCTAGTGTGTCCCTGTTAACGCACAGACACCTACTTCCTGTGTTTTCACCGCAGACACCATTTTTTGCACGCTACTTTTTGTCATTTTGTTTTTTTCCCCCGGTCGCAGACCATGACAGTGTGCCCCGGTCACAGACCGTGACACCTCCGAATCCGAAGCAACATAAAAATGTTGTTTCCTTTGACATTTGTTTCGTCTGAAAACAATTTATTTTGTTGTGCACAAGTCTACTACTGACCAATAATCAGGCCAATATCATGTTTGTACCATTTTCCAGATCTCGACTCCTGCCCCTAATTCAACTAGTCTATATTTCATTCTGGCGCTGTGCTTTTGACATATTCAATAAATAAACTCTGACAGTTCGGTAATCAGAACAGCAATGCAAAGTATAACCAAGTACTTTTTGGCGTAACTAGTCTGTTGCACGCTCATATTGTATATGCATATAAATACACAGGTGCGACGTTCCTTGAAACTGCAGTGCTGAGTAACAACCAGCAGATGGTGAAGGCACAAGGCTCATAGGGTAGCTGTAAAAGGAGAAATATAAGGGCTGCCATTGCTGGCCTCCCTTTTGTAAGAGATTTTGATTATGATAGACATTTCTAATCCAGTCTTCCATCCAAATTATTTCCAAATGACATTTCATGCATTCAAGTTACAGCTATATGTTGTTTGTACGCTATCATAATCCAACATGAGCTAGATATACAAGATATTTCTATCATCCTGAAAAAAATAACATTTATAGACCAAGGTATTTTGTGGTCTCTAACTTCTGGACTTTAGCCAAATGAGAAACAGCAGATAATGAATAGGGTAGCCCTTGAACAATTGTTACATTGCTAGAGCGCTCCTTTCTGCAAAGAGTTAATTACAGCAATTAGGACTTGTGTGGCAGAGAGACTTATGGGACTTGTTGCAATGTGGAGAGAGGAAGAGACCATTTTATCTTACACTGAACAGACTACAGTTCCCAGGAGGCTTTTACAACCTGGGAGAGGTTGTGACTCCGCTCTCTCTGGGAGCACGGGCAGAATGGCTGGGACACTGGAAGTGACAGGACCTCCTGCCGAGGACGGTTTGATTCATCACTCCATGGAGGGAGAGAAACCTGGTAATGATCACCGCTATAGTTTCCGATAGGTAGCTGTGAGCACCTCTGAGGATTCTGTCTGATCTTCTGAACAGCAAATACAAATTCTGCTGTTGTGGAAGATTTGTCCGCTGTATCATATAGAGACACCGCTGCTTCTCCGAACGAAGGGATGTTGCCGGGACCACGTGGGATGGAGACCAGCTGGGCATACACACAAATCACTGACAAAGTCCGGGGGAACAGCTGGCTGGAGAGGGGGATGCCTCACTGGCAAGCGAGAGACTCATCATCCAGGCTCATTTGCTGCAGAAGTGGTGAGAGGCCACTAGCCATTGTGTTACTTAACTTAAGGTCTCGTTCACACCTAGGCGTATTGCATATGCGCGTCTGTCGCACGTTTTTTTACCGCGATCCGCGGTTAAAAAGGTTGCGCGACAAAGGCTACTTGGCTGTATCCCAATGGAAACGCGCAACAAAACGGCCCAAAGTAGTACATGTACCTTTTCAGGCGTGGGCCGTTTTGTAGCGCGTTAGGGACGGGCGGAAATACGCCAAGGTGGGAACGAGACCATTGAATACAATGGGATTTATATTTTTGAGCGTTTTGTAGAGCGTTCGTCGAGCGTAGAACAATGCGTTCAGGTGTGAACGAGGGCTAAATCATTTTTGGGCCACAACGCAGGCTACCCTAATTAAATACCACGGGCCAGTAGGCTAGAGACCTGGGTATACGGAGACTTCATCTTCATATTTGCTATAATCTGACACAGTTATTTCTAGTCAGTTTAGTACTGCTTATGGTTAAGAATATAGCCACAGCTGATGAGAAATCTGAATGCTTAAATGTTTTTTATTATATGTATATTCAATTCTATTTTGGTTATAGCTGTTTATTGTTGTAACATCAATCTATAGTTCACTCAGTAAAAACTTCTAAAAAAAAAAAAATGAAATGCAAAATGTGTGTTGGTGTGCTGGGGATCCAGTTGGGGTGATTTATCCTGGTGTGGGACAGAAGTACCTGTATATTCCAGCGGCTCCTCCGTGGGTGAGCACTACAATAGTTTTTTTCTTTTCATGATATACAAGCTTTTGTTTAGACTTAAAGTGACACTAAACTCAGGAGTTAAACCTTAACAATGCATTCAAGTACCTTAAAGCTGACCTTTACACTCAAATTCTACCAATGCATCCCTCTATGTATGATGATTAATAATAACAGACATGTCAGGTATAAAATGGGGGGAATATGAAATACTTACACTTGCAGAGGATTTACTTCCTGCTTTTAACCCCTTCATGACCAATTACTTACAGTGTACGTCACTGGCATCAGGCTCATTTAAACAAACTCTGTTTAAACTTGTAAAGTCGACTGTTGGCATGACAGTAGAAGCGATTCTGGTGCAATATTCCCTGTGACAGATCAAACCTCCTTGGGGTAATATTAGATTCGGCCATTTCAAAAGTCACGGGATGCAAATCAGGAATTGATTAGATGATCGAATGCTTGTAGAGCTCTGAAGGCTGCTCTGATCTCTTATACATTTGACGTCAATGTGTCTGCTGGAAACTCTACCTCAAGATAGGAATATCTTGATTGAACACCAGAAAATATTGATTACAACCCAACATGCATTCGGTTGGCTAATCAACAAAGAGAAACCAAACATGGTACCATCTCAACAGATAATCTTCCTGGGAGCCCTCATAGCTACGCAGACAAATTTGGTCCAACTTCCACCAGAGAAAGCTCTACACATTCACCGGAAAGTGTTAACGATGATGGAGCTCCAGTAGCTTCAAGCATCAAAGTATGTCAGTTTTCTGGGGACACTTCCATCGACCATCGCTATGGTGAGATGGGCACATTGGAGGATGCGGCCGTGATGAGGAATTCCTTATGCTGGTGGACCCATTTAATAAATCTATCTAAATACCATCAAATTTCAGAATCTCAGGGGGCAATCATAATGTCAGATATCAGTCTCCTCACAGTTGGGGAGCCAATTTTTAGGGTTTAGCGTCCAAGGAGAACGGGAGTTTCCAGCAGACACATTGACGTCAAATGTATAAGAGATCAGAGCAGCCTTCAGAGCTCTACAAGCATTCGATCATCTAATCAAGTGGAAAACAGTCCAACTTCGGTTAGACAACTAGACGGCAACTGCATACATACAGAAACCGGGAGGTACCCACAGTTGTACAATGCCGAGAGAAGTACAAACTATAATGTTGTGGGCTCCAAACACCTGGAACCTAAGGGAAGTTTACATTCCAGGGAACAAAGATTTAGCAGATCTGTTGAGTCAGAAAGAAATGAAGAGGCACGAATGGTCTCTGAACAAAGAAGTTTTCAATTAAATCATAGAGATTTGGGGCATCTGGAAGTGGACTTAAGGCCAAGACCTCAGAACACAAACTGCAAGACATTTATATACGAGGCATAGATGCACTGACAACTTCACGGACATTTCACATAGCTAATGCTTTCCTTCTACATCCAGAAATAAGCAAGTTCTTGCAGAAATCAGCTCAATGCACAGGGACAATTATCACAGTAATTCCATATTGACCGAGGAGACCCTGGTTCCCGATGTTCATTCATCTGAGCAAAGACAACCATACCATTACCTCAGAGGCAGGATCTCTTAACTAAGGGTCCCTTTGTCCACCCCCTGCCACAAAAAAATTATCTGGTGGCTTGGAAATTGAGAAGCAAAAACTTACCAATCTAGGCAGTTTACAGGCCATAATTAATATGCTATTGAAGTCCAGAAAACAGTCTATAAATAACATATTCTAAAGAGTATGGAAAAAAAATGTATTGGATTTGTATTGTATTGGAGGAAAAACAATTTAACCCTACAGCAACATAAATAAACAATATTCTGGAGTTTCTGAACCAGATAAGGTACTGAGCTGGAATACGCTAAAAGTTCAAGTTTCAGCAATTTTGATACAATCTAATACCAGATGGTCTTTCAACCCATTAGTGGTTCCATTTCTAAAAGGTTTGTGTGAAATTGCATCCCCCCAGAAAACCCTTCTTTCCACAGTGGGACTTATCACTAGTCCTTTCGGCTCTTATAGAGGCTCCATAGTCATAAAGCCAGCCAAAAGTTTCAGAGCTCCCAGCTGTAGCTATTTCTGAACCATACTGCATGTTTTTTCTGGATATAGTAGTTCTGAGACCGGCTCTTCACTTTCTGCTCAAAGAAACTACGTCCTTTCATCTAAATCAGGAGATTGTACTCCTAATGCTCCAGGAAGAGAATAGCAAACCTCATTCCCTACATGTTGCAAAATACGCTAAGAGACTACATCGCTGCAACAGCTAACTTAAGATCAGGGGAGAATTTATTTGGGGTACTCTTTAGGAGCCAGGAAGGGACAACCAGCCTCCCCGAGGACCATAACCTCTTGGCTAGTAAAGGCAATCAAAAAGACTTACTCCTTGAAAGGCCTACCTGCACCTCAAGAAATTAAAGCTCATTCCACAAGAGGCATGGCTCCCCCTTTGGCAGCTTTATCCAAAGTGTCAGCGGAAACCACCAAAGTGGCTACAACATCTTCTAAGAACACATTTATTAACCACTACAGAGTGGATCCAGTGTCTCTTACAACTAAGTTTTGGGGAGAATGTCATCACTTCACTTCTGGGGCCTCTTTGTAAATAAATTATATTGCAGCACCCACCCATGTTTATCATTATTTACCATTGTGTGCTGCCATGATGTGCCAGGAAAACGGAAAATTGTATACTCACCTTTCCCAATTTTCCTTTCCTGCTGCATATGGCAGCACACTTCCAAATCCCTTCCAGTTTGGCTCGTTCTTATGACTAGAATGGTGGGCCAGCCAGGAGTGCAAAAATGTATAAAAGGTCTTGTCCTATGGGGTTCAGGGGGCGGAACCTTAACCCATTGTTTGCTGCCATGGCAGTATACCATTTTCCATATATTTATTATACACACACTGTATATACATACATATACACAGTATATATTTGTTTAGTAGAGTTAATCAATCATTGTTGCAGAAAATGTTTTATTTTGCCAAGCAGAGGTGATAAGACATTGTAATATAATACATAGAAATATGAATAATGTGGGTATAAAAAAAAGTGAGACTATAGCAAAATGTATTAGTTCTAGTTCTAATTATATCTCTATGTTAGCAAATTATTCACCGAAATCATTTGGCAGTTATAAGCTAAGCATTTTGGTCTAAAATTTATGGCAGCTGTACTATAGCCAAAGCAGTTAAGTGCTCTTGTGGATCATTATTACAGTGTTTCATAATCATTTTGTAATGTCGAATGACCAGGGGGTGAAGGTGCCATCTTTGTCTCTCGGGATCTGAAATACAACAGAAAATTAAATTACTCTCCAAGTTGGAAAAGTTTATAAATTCTATAAGCATCGCAAAAAAAAAGTGGCTACGTAATATTTCCTCAGGACAGAACATGGTATATTTATTTTATAGTTCCCCAAGCTGTGGCCTTCATCTTATGATTCTCTCACAGTGACTTTGGGAAATGATGTAGCTTTTTGTACAATTTTTCCACGCCACTCACTGCTTTCATTAGAACAAATTTAAAAAGTACAATAAAGCAGTCCAAAGACATGAGTAACAGTTGAGGCAGTCCTAAATAGATCTATTGAACGGTGTTGCCATATCTGTAGGGTATGGCAGATGCCAGCTGGATGATGATTTTCATGAGGGAATGTCAACTGGACAGGATAGAAAGCCTATGCAGGGGGACAGCCTTTTAAATTCTCACGACAGACTCCTATGCAATAATATGGGGTAGTCAAAGCCCATGTGATTAGTAATGACCAAAATTCACCTGAATATTTTTCAGGTTGATCTGTCTGAGCTACAGAGAATCCTGGAATTTTTTAACCCAGATAACCAGGACTCATGAGTTGCCTCATCTTCTGCAAACTGGACACATAACAATAGTCATAAAAAAATAACAGATTGCCAATTTGTGGTCATCACTACATGAAGCTGCAGTTCCAACACGCACAACTAAATAGGGCAGAGCAGCGACTCATCCCCCTTTCTCTCCTAATGTTCTGCGATAACAGTGCCATGGATTCAGCCTGTTCTAAATGTTTATTTTGTATACAGAAGATAGCAAACAATTGAGCTTTAAAACATCAGTTTGAAATTGTACACACTTCAAAATGATAAAAAACACCTACATCACAAACTCTGTAATCAACACAGACAAAAAATGCACACTTAATTGGTTCATGTAGAAACGCACCATTTTAGTCAAGTGGTCTTCACACGCCATTCTGATTTTCTCAGGAGTTGCTGGGCTATTAAGAGTAAAAGTCTTAGGCAAGCCACGTTCTGAGCGAACTGAATCCACTGCATCCTTTATGGCAAAAAGGACAGAGCATCCTAAAAACACAGATGGCTCCCCGACTCCCTGTAACAGAAGTCACACCAACAGCTTTATATAAAGTCAAATGACAAAAATGGCAAAACATTTGTTTACATATATTTTTTAGGATCAAATATTTAATACTTATTTACACAGCCAATTAGATGCATACCTAAGCATACTGTACCTAAGTGAGGTTCGTGAGGTTTTGTTGGATTACAATGCAACACACAACCAACATGGAAATTCAAAGTTTAAAGCGTGCACGAATGTGTGTGTGCCTCCATTTCTCTCTCTCTATCTTCCTCTCCAGATTAAATAGTTATACATATAGATTGTGATTAGAATCAGTTGCAAAGCACTGGATTTTTGTCTATGAATTCTCTGAATAAAGTGTGACGCTTTTAAAAAAAAGAAAGCTCACCTTTGAGGAGTAAATTGTATAGGGATTTTTAGACGATGCGAGGAGCGAGACATTAAACTCAGTCGGGACATCACACACTGTTGGTATTTTATATTTGTCAGGGCCAAGTGTATACATGTCACCTTGTGGTGAATAAAAGAGTTCCTCTAGTGTGTACAAGCCAAGTCCCTGAATAAATCCACCTTCAATCTAAAGGGGAAAAAAAAGAATCAATTGATGCAAGTATATACACATAACATGAACTAAAAATGTATACATTATCTAAATTTACATATATGGTAAAAAGGAGTTAATTGTACACATGGTATAACAAGGCATAATATCTACTTATATTGTTATCAACTAGATTTATGTTGCTCATCGACGTTGACTTTCTTCTCCATCTACCTTGACCCCTGTATATCACCCTGTCTATATCCATCACTGTATCTTTATAGAACAATGACTCCTATTTCTGTTCTAAATTTATAATACATTAGTACAGGGGTGGCAAACTCAAATTCATCGGGGGCCGCATCAGCAGTATGGTTACCCTCAAAGAGCCGGTTGTATAGGACTATGCATCTACTCTTTATTATCATAAATAGTTGCCTCTGCATTCAGTTGATGCTGGTGATAGCGGCCACACCCCCAGTAACCACACCCATTTATCACCCATATTTTTGCTAAAATATAAGAGTCGGGGTCACGTCGGGTAAATAGACACCAAACATGTTAAGCTTTAAAATTGCGCGCACCCGCAAAATCGCTAAAATTGACCATAGGTGATGCTTTAAAAGCTTTTACCGCTCATCAGTTTAGTGTTATCAGTGATTGATAGCCCTACAATTATTGCTCTCATTCCGACGTTCGCGGCGATATGTAACATGTGCGGCGTAATGGGCAAAATCGTCGTTTTCACGCGTATGCGCACCCGACGCCTGTTTGCATGCGTGTATGTATGGGGGGGACTTAGCTCCGGTGTTTGTCCTTCTCACACGGAGGACCGGTAAATATCACTGATACTTACTGATCCCCGCTCTGCCACGCACTGAGCCGCTGTCATCCTGAAACTGACAGGATGACAGCGGCTCCGATCTCCTACCTGCTCGGCCATCCTGACAGCTGCGGGCGCGGCTTTTCTCCCCCTCACCGCTCCGCCATCCTGACAGCAGGCAGCGCTGTGCGGGCCACATTACAAGGTCCGGCGGGCCGGATTCGGCCCGCGGGCCTTGTGTTTGCCACCCCTGCATTAGTATATACATTTTATAGGACAAACCAAACAAATATGTTTTTGTTGATTAAAAGGTCACAAACCTGCCCAATGTCCAATCCTGGATTTATGCTTTCTCCTACATCCAAAACTATATCTGTACGAAGATTCTGAGAGAAAATATTATTAAAAAATTACATTAGTAACCACAGTCAGTTTTCCTCAATTGATTAATTTTTGGGGATATATTTAAATAGAGAAAGGGTGTGTGTGTGTGTGTGTACCATTTCTGCAAAATAAGTAACATTTACAATGGGAAAGTGAGGAGGGATATGTGTGGTTTGCATACATACAAATTAGGGTTGCACAGATACTTTGAGTACCAGTGCCGGTACTTTCATGAGAACTACCAGGGTTGCAGCGGTTGCAGCTGGGACCGGGCTCTGGCACTCCACCACTGTCCTGAAATCATTAGTCAGTTTTTCTAAAACAATGCAGTCATATGACATTAAACAAAAATTTATCAGTACTCGTACTTGTAAGTACCAGTACCAGTACTCGTACTCGCAAAACTGGTATCTGTGCATCACTTTATTTATATTTATAAAAACAAAATCGTACATTAAAACAGAGATGTACAAATCCCAGGAGCTCCGTGTGCTCCTTACAAAGTACAGCTGCCTCCTAACTTTTGAATTTTTCTCTAGTGTAGTATACACAGTATACTCCTCAGTATACACTCAGGAGGGAAACGGGTTTGACACACATGATAAAACTCCCAGTTTAACACCAAGTTTAAAAATGTACATGTAGCCCCCTGCACCCCAAGTGGAGTGGCTCTTTAAATTTAGTGTTGCTGGCTGATCAATCTGGCTGATTTGTAGCCTGTGATCATTTGGTCATTCCTAGGTGTTCTGCTATTGTCTGCACCTACCTGTAGTGGGGTGTGACCCTGCTATAGAGTGGAGCAGCCAATAGGGGAACATGAAGAGTGCATATGACTCAACAGCCAATCATTAGGATTTTCATGGCCAGTGGTACATGCTGGGAAAGTGCATAAATACTCAGGAATTGCCATGTGCTCAGGGCAGTCTGGCTCTGGGCTTAGTCTGGGGGTAGGATCTAGAAGTTTGGAGAAGCTGACTAGACCTCAAGCCTGCAGGAGGCCAGATGTGGACCCAGGAGGTGTCTGTAATTATCTGGGAAGGAGAACCAAATGAACCCTTTGACTGCTGGAAGTACCAGGAAAGCCAGGATGACATAGACCTCAGGAACAAGTCTGATGTCTCTCCCAAGGAATATCTCAAGCACATCCTCTCTCCAGCTGTAGGTCTATTACACAGAGTCTTCTTCTGCTCATCTAAAGTATTCCTGCACTGTGGAAGCAGGAAGGGGATTGGTGTGTCTGGTATATTTTTTGCAATGGATGACTGTAGCCCTATATTTCCTCTTGCAGTTTTGGCTACTCTATAACAAAGCATCTAAAAAGTACTTAACAACTTGCTGACCAGGTGTTAAACCCCCTTCCTGTCCCGGCCATTTTTCAGTATTTAGCGCTGCAGTAATTTGACTGACATTTATTCCGTCATGCAACGCTGTACTGAAATTAATTTTTTTTTAGTTTCAAAAGATTTTTTTTTCCACATATAATTTAAAAGTTTTACAATCAGTGGTTTTTGCACTTATGAAATAAAATGAATATAAATCTATTGCAAGTTATAGTAATTCGTGCTCAAGCTGCGTCCGAGACTTGGGTGGATTCGGTCTACTGAAATTAATTTTATACCATTTTTTGGTGACAGATAGAGCTTTCTTTTGGTGGTATTTAATCACCCCCGGGGTTTCTATTTTTTACTATATTAAGGAAAAGTTGCAGAAAATTTTGAAACAATTTTTTTTTTACATTATGTTAGGAAACAATTATTATTACTCAATTTTGTGGTAAAATATAAAAGACAGGGTCACGTTGGGTAAATAGACAAAACATGTCTAGTCTTAAAATTGCGCTCACCTGCGAGATCGCAGAAAACTACCATACCCAAAATTGACCATTGGCGACTCTTTAAAAGCTTTCAACGGTCATCAGTTTCGTGTTATTAGTGATTAATGGCCCGATAATTATTGCTCTCACTGCGACGTTCGTGGCGATATGTAACATGTGCAGCGTAATGGGCATAACTGCCGTTTTCGTGCGTATGCGCACCCGACGCATGTTTGCATGCGTGTATGTATGGGTGGGGACCAATCGGCAAAAAAAATGTTTTTATTTTTTTTACAATTCTTTATAATGTGTGACTTACATTTTTTTTTCCAACTTTAATCTTTCTTTCCTATATTTTTTTCACTTAACGTTATTGTTATCACATAGGAGAGTAAGAAACCCTCTATGTGATAGCAAAGAGATGTGACAGGTCCTCTTTATGGAGACATCAGGGGTCTCCAAGACCCCTAATGTCACATAGGGACCCCCAAAGAAGCTGATGAAGCAGATCTCTCTTCTGAAGCTGGAGAGTGACACAAGAATGCGGAAGTGATATAATATACATCACTTCCGCCTTCTGACAGCGGAGAGGGGAATCGTGTACCGATCTCCCTCTAATCCCCTGTCACTGAGCCATCATGCTGGTCCTGGACTCGCACCAGGCACACCGGAGCCTGGGACCAGTGGAGGGGAGGCTGTGGAGGGGGTGTGTGTACACCGATCGGCACCTTACACAAGCGATCCACCGGCTCTATAGCTTGTATGTACACAGGCATGGCTGCCTGTTTTTAAATTTGGGCAGTTTCCCGCTCGTGTGCGCGAGTGGATGGGGCCAGCAGGACGTCTTTTGACGGCCTCTTACATCCAGGAAGCTCCCGGCCGGCTGTTTAATCACAACAGCCGGCCTGGAGGCGGTTAAAGTGACTGGCACCCAATTCGCTGTTCACATCCCACAACCTGGCTATCAATCCACCCCTGAGAGTAAAATGTCAGCCCTACCTGCCTCTGGGGTTTACCACATGCCTTTGGGGGTCAGGGGGGTGCTACATAATATTTTTTTATTGTCCCCTCATATTCAAACAGCGCTGCTGTGACAGGGGAGGGAGCACTGCTATTAAAAATGTTAAATATTACTGGCATTTATTCACCGTTTCAGAATATGAACCAACTCCAAAAACGGTTTTGCTAGTGTGTCCCTATCCATACTTCTTTTAATGTGGTTTTACATATTTCATTAATCTAATAGAAAAAGATTAAACAGGGTTGGGTTCTTATTATAACTTCTCTATCCAGCTAAATTATGTCTCCCCTAGCACTAGAATGCTTGGCAGACCTTGGCTTTATACAGTAGATAAAAAAAAAACCCAATATACTATACTTGCATAGGACTGATTTTCCCTACATGCAGATATTATTTAAAACATTTTTTTACATTTGTAATTGTAAATACTAAAATGCCCAAATACCCATTTGACCAAGAGTAAAATCCTAAACATTTTTCAACAAGCCAGCTTTTGTACAGATATACAGATATACTTGATCATCATTCCGAGGAAAAAACATTCTAGAAGGAACTAATTTTAGTTACAAATGTAGATTAATAAATTAAATTAGCTACTTAGAAACATGGGGCACTTATACAAGTGTGCATCATGTGAGTCTTATAGAAAAATTAAAAAATCATGTACCAAGTGTGCCTCACCCAAATAAAAGCACATAATTTGCCTATTACCTTGTGGGCTCCAGTTAGGCAGTCCAGTTCAATCTCAGTACAAGCTGCTCCGTAGATGTAATATGGAGCAATGTGACCCTCTCCTTTTTCCCAGTCCATATCAGTGTCATATCCTCTGAATAGGGGGAAAAAAAAGTCAGTGATTACTATGAACGTAATAGGCAAGATTAGTAACACCTACAGTGAAATTCAAGCTCAACTAAAGAATCAGGGATATGGTACAGCCTTCCTCCATAAAAAAAACTTCTAAGGTCCAAGTAATCACTTTCAAAGGTTATGGCATTGCAGAATATAACAATGTAGACATTTTATGTTTTGCATTCATGGCGATGTAACCATGCAATCATCATTGACAAATCAAAGCTTTTGGAGTATTTTCTTAAAATTTGTGATTCTACAGCAGACCAAAATTGTTCTTTTCACCTCCACCTGAAGTATCTGAATCGCTTTCATAAGCGCTGACACTTTTAAAGCATTTCTGCTTTAAAACCCCTATAAGGTTGTTTTTTACAGTATGTACTGCTGGTGAGACTTTTCATCACTTCCTACAATGGAGATGTAATCAGACGTGAAGAATATCACCCCAAAGAGGGGAATTTCCCCTTTAGGCATTTGTTTTTATTGGAAGATTTCCCTACACTTCTTGTTTTGGTGATATACAGAAATTCCAAGCTGCTGGATGTTATCATATATTTTAGGTTTTTTATCAATTTCAGGTCCCATCTTTTCTGACATGTTTGAAGAAAAACTCTTAAACCCTGTGATTTATTAACAGCTCTTCATCATCTACATACACTGGGCATTGCAGAGTTGTAACATGGACTGCATTTGTCTTTAGTAAAAGCAAATCCGCTTCTTCAGTTTGGCCTTTAGCTAAATTTGAGTTTGATGTTCCGGAAGGAGGAAATTGGTAATATCTCCATGTGTTACCTACTTGTAAAATCCAGTAGCTGAAAGGCTCAGTCTTTGAGCAAAAGCTCCCATAACCTGTAAAACAAAAACACTAATGTCAACTTTTATGGGTTTGGAAATGTCTAGGACCAGAAGGAGATGGTGAATTAAAGGGAAATTGAATGTGAAATTAAACCAAACTCTGGTCAAAATGCTTTATCTTGCTTTGGATAGCACTGGAAAGGGATTAGAGTGCACAGCATTGTGCTCGGTCGCCTGTGTAGCTGGCACTTCAGCCGGCTTGGGACAGCTCTGAAGCAGGGAGTGCTGAGAGCACACTGCTCCCTGTTTCATTCAGCACAGAGCAAATCAAGGAATGGACTTTCCTTAGTCTACTCTCCCTCTCCATCCTGACACCCTCTGCCGTAGTCCTGGGCCAACTAAGGAGTGGGGAACCCTGATAACATCAGTAGGGAGGTGCGGGGAGGTGGCACAATTGCAGGTTCGTACAAGTGATCTGGTAGCTGCACAGCCACCCAGATCACTTGTAGTTGGCAAGTTGGCCCTGTCTGATGTCATTGGTTGCTAGAATGCCAGTGGACCTAGGAACCAATGACTAAAGCAGAGGGGACGGGGCCTGCAGAGAGTTATGGGTGGCAGTGAATGCACCAGCCTCGGAGACAAGTGTATCCACTGTCAGCCTGCCATAAACCAGTGCAGTTCAGCGATTGTGGTCTGGTTCCAGACCATGGTCCCTCATTTAGGGTCCCTTGCTATATACTAGGGATGTCCCAATACTAGTATCGGTATCAGGACCAATACAGGACATTTTCATGAGTAATTGTATTTGTGATAATGCCCCGATACATAGTGTAGATGCCGACACTTTACATTTTTAAAATAGGTTCAGGCTGCTTGTACACGTGATCCGCCCAGATCACTTGTACAGCAGCCTGCTCATCCAGCACCCCAACGACAAAGTAGTTCAGGATAGAGAGTGAGTGGGGAGCAGAGCGGAGTATGTCCATTCTCCGCTTTGCTCTGTGATCAGTGACACAGGAGCGCTGTATACACAGCGCTTCCTCTGTCAGCAGTCACAATGCTGTGCTGTATCTTCTGTATTGAACAGCAGGCTCATAAAAAGGGCCTGTCACCTCTGAATGAAATCACATATGGGCTTGTTATCCCCTGTGTGATCTCAATAAAGTTAAGTGAAAAAAAACAGAAGTGATAAAAGTTTACAAAAAAAGATAAAATCCTTATATTGTAAAGCGCTGCGCAAACTGTTGGTGCTATATAAATACTATGTAATAATAATAATAATAAAAATAGAGCAGCATCGCTCTCCAACACACACAATGCACATTAAAGGGTATGTTCACTTTCCCCAAGTCATTTGGGCAAATGGAATTACCTGCTTAAATCTGGCCAATTCTTCCTCCCTACCGCTATACTGACCTTTTGGTGAATGGTCCTTCCCCTCCGAAGGCACAGGTGCACGACCTATACACCATACTGCCGCAAAATGAAGCCCTGCGCTATGGATTTTGAATTTCACTCGGAAATTGTGAGCACTCCTTGGTCAGTGCACTCAGGTGACCGCGCTGACCAATGAGAAGCGCTTCTTAGCATGGTCAAATACAGTTTTGGTATAAAACATTTTTTGTATCAGGACAAGTATAATCATGGGTTGAGTTACAGTTCTTTAATGATTTAGTGTAGTCTCTTTATAATTATAGTCTGTATTGTGAAAAAATATTACATGTGCCTTTAGGAAAAAGTATTGGTAATTGGTATCAGCAAATACCCGATGGAATGCACTTGTACTTGGTCTTGAAAATATGGTATTGGGACATTCCTGCTATATACGATAGATATTTTTCTCAAAGAGTGAGACCACAGAGATGGTATGGTGGTTGTGTGTTTGCATGGCTTTGATTCTAGTGTTCTAGCCACCTCACAAAACCCCAAAATGTTATATAATTATTAACATCTGACCAAAAAACTGACCCTTGTTTGTACAAGTGTATGTAATGAGCCAATGTGTATGGTTTTGTGCATCCTGTAAGGAACTGCATAACATAGGTGCTTTATTATTACACTGTAGATCACAAACATTTAAAATGGCCACTCTAGTGCAATCAATCATAGGCTTCTAGATTTACAATGTATATTAGCTTTACATTTTCAATGGCACCATGTTGTCCTCCAGAGCCGAGTTTTAGCAGGAGCTAGACGTATACATACAGTTAATAACAGTTTGTACACTCCTTTTGAAAACCTACCTTTGCTCCTGGCCACATGTATGCGTCTCACACCCCAGATAATTATTATTATTATTATTACATAGTATTTATATAGTGCCAACAGTTTGCGCAGCGCTTTACAATGTAAGGAAGACATTACAATTACAATACAATTCAAGACAGGATGGTAAGGAGGGCCCTGCCCCTGAGGGCTTACAATCTGAAAGAGGAGGAGGAAATTATACATGAGGAGGTAGCTGTGTGGGGATGAATTGTTTGAGAATGTGATGGTTCAGTGGTTAGGTTGAGGTGGGATAGGCTTCCCTGAAGAGAAGAGTCTTCAGGGAACGCCTGAAGACAGTCCGGATGGGCGATAGACGGACAGGTTGGGGTAAAGAGTTCCAGAGGATGGGAGAGACTCTAGAGAAGTCCTGGAGGCGAGTATGGGAGGAGTTGACTAGGGAGCTGGAAAGCAGGAGGTCTAGGGAAGAGCGGAGTGGACGGTTAGGGTGATATTTTGAGACAAGGTCTGAGATATATCCGGGGGCAGAGTTGTGGATGGCTTTATAAGTGACT